GATTTTAGCGTTCCGTGAGTTGAAAAAGGAAATAATCTTCAGTACCGCTATCGCTTCTGTCCGATACTGGGAATGTTCAGATATTGACGTCACAGCGCATCTCAGTGGTTTTACGTTAATGGAGGTCCCGTTGACGTTGTCGAATAATTTGTTCATAAAGAACAAAAATTCCGCGGTACTGACAGCCTTCTGAGGTAGACCGTTCGGTATTACTGCTAACGTGGTCATCACAGCCGCCACGTTTCTGCTGAGCACCTGAGCAGCTATGGGAACTTTCATTTTGCGGGTATTGTTGATGTTATCCACAGTCAATTTGTTTCATATTTTATAGTCGTCGCCCTTTCTTTTAATTTTAATAATGAAGAAACTTCACATAATTTTAAAAGAACATGTGAAAATACAGATTATTAATATAGTTACCTAATAAATTCTACTATTTCTACGGCAAATGCAGTCATTTGCAATCGAAAATTGCAATTCTTTGCGTTCTCATAAAAATTTAGTTGTCTACGTCTATATGCACGCGGCAGACGCAGAAAACTAAAAACGGTTTATGACTTGTAGAAGGACTGCAGTTTTACACGTATAGTTACGTACTTATTTACATAGCGAAATCTGTTAGAAATGCGGATCCAAAAGGGGACTAATATCGGAAACAGTATCAGCATGAACGAGTTGTAAACACTATTATACGTACAAATTACAAATATATCAGTGCAAATATTTACATACTAGAGGAAACAGGAACAACTTCAACTTCAACTGAGTATTAGCAATATCAAAGTATATCGGCTGATAAACATACAACAATTTGCCTTTACAAAAAAAACTTTTGGGTGTTTTATTCCCACCAGCCGCTAATTCTGGCGGGCAGTCCCTCCGGGCATCGTGGTAATGGGTGGGTGGTGGTTCGGGTGAGAAAGACGAAATGGGCTAAATGAAGATAGAATAAAATGAAAGATTATATACAATAAAGGTCATCATTTTATCATAGTCAATATACTGCCATTTATTCTGTCTAGACCACTTTCGTAGTAACGATTTTTTCTTCTGTGCGGCGAATCGATTGGGGTCTGTCACCATATTTTTTATCACACTTTCATCTATCAACTTGAAGAAAAAAACAGGAGACATATGTACATGTTCAAATAATGAAGTTTCAACACCATCCTCGTTAATCAGATAATCGCGGATAGTCCAGTAACTTCTTGACACATCAATCATGGAACCAGTGCCTCATCTTCCTCTGAGCTGTCGATTTGAAACTGACGAATAACCGCCTCTATGGTGTCTGAAATTCATTTATTCAGATGTACTTCCTCAGAAGACAATGACTTATCAGGGAGACTATCAGATCTGCCAGGAAGCTGTCCCGTAAGCGTCCCACTAGTACTTTCCCCACATCATCAGGAAATGCTATTGACTGATTTCTTCCTTGTTTATTTTTCCTTAATGACTCGAAGCTGCCTTGGAAGCTACTCGAAGACAATGAATGCCAACTCTCCGATTCATATTCATCTGAGGAAGATTCGAAAGGATCGGGCTCTTCATCGGAAATATATCTTCTATAAACTGTTGAAGATGCTGCTGTTCTTTCTCAAAACTACCCATTGTTTCTTAATAGAAATATAAAAATGCCTTTTTGTGATAAAACCTTACTACAAAATCTTACCTTTACAAATAAAAGTCGCCAAAATGCAAATCAGTCCACCGCATGCAAGTATCTACTTCTCTACTGAACCGCAATAGAAAATTGTTACAAACAAGATTCGACAGGTTTTTATGTGAACCATCGCTGATTCACACGGCCTGCTATAACATATTGTCCTGCCAGGCCACGCGAATCACACTTAACTCACAGTCAAAAACAAAATTTTTGTCAGAAATTGAGATGTAATGAATATCATTTTTATACTTTTGAAAACACAATAAATAATTTTTAGCTCGTGGCCCATGGAGAAAAGAAATATTTTTGTATTGTGGCAATTAACGTATTAAAATGCTGATGAAAGGGAACTACAAAAAACTGTAGTATTTGATTTTCCTGAAATAATTCGACATTCAAACATTCGTTGTGTTTAGTTTCTGTCTTTATAATTTTTAGCAAAAAGTTCTCGGTATATACAAGATCTGAGAAGTATTTATAAGCAATATTCGGGTTGATTAACGAATTTGTTGCACCTGTATATAAAATAATAGAATAATAGGATTCCTATACATATGTCATATTATGTTATTTATTTGTTTTCTGGTAATTATCAGGTACCTTTATTTGTTATCGTTTTTAGGTACGTATGCATACATAGCTACATGTGGATGTATATGTGCTACTTTTAAAGAGTTACCTAGGTACCTCATCGGAAATTTGAAAGGCATTAATCAAATAAAGTTGGCGAATCTTCAGAAAAACAGATATACATTTCAGAGTTGCCGAAGCAGGCCTTGATGACTTGTTAAATTCGTGTATCTTTTCATATATGTACACACATGCATTTGTAGTACAGTACCTACACAGTATATATTATATGCATAATATTGTTTTACTGTATTTGGTCCTCACGTAAACAGTATTCAGTACTTCCACCCTCCTTTCTGTTTGTAAATGAAAATTGACAACACGTTTGTATATGTTTTCACATATTCTACTACTATTTATGCATGCACCACTTGTTCATAACATTTCATTTTTTGTACTTCTTTACTTACCTTTTTCAAAATTTCTTTCCTGCTTTCTTCTTATGAATAACAAATGATAACATCCAACTTTATATTTTCATATTTTTCAAATATGAATATTATCCATTGATAACTACAGACAATTCCTATTTTCCTGTTTACGCGCTTCGCGATGGCGGACGCGGCTTTTGAACGTTTACATGTGGTAATTTTCGATTTCTCCTCCAATGAAAGGCATTACAAATCATGATTATCGTTACCAATTTCACTCCAGTGGAAATAAAGATTATGATAATATTTTTTATGATCGTATGCTGTTTTTCTTATGCAACCCATTTTACAAAATCTTTAGACGCAGCAAACACCGCCATCTGCCAGGTTTAGTCTGCTATTTTTATAGGAGAGTGGACACTCCATGCCCTTGTACTATAAGGCCTACATCACATTTTAGTTATTTGTACCAACTTGATAAACGTTGGAATAATTGTTCAAAAACAAGAGAAAAAACAACCAATGTCCAATATTTATCACCACTTTCATTATTTTTCGTGTTAATCAAAATACCAAAAACAAAAGAATTAATAATTGTCACTGTTGTAATTAATTACAACTGGAACATTTTGAGTAGCAAATATTTTAGTGAGGACTTCGGCAGGACGCATAGTTTTTGACAAATATCGTCCATATAACAGATAATAGATAATGGCTGCTATATATATATATAGCCATTGGGGCAATTACAGCAGATTTGGTCTATTGAATTTAAAGCATCCATTGCAGCCAAAGTAGTTAACCAATAATATAATTTCCATATATAGGGTTGTTCGGAAAGTCATTTCGTTTTTTTTGTGGAAATGAAAGACAGTTTTCGAATAATAAACAAATACTTTATTAAATTGTATATTGACCGTTCTGGTCCAACACCTTTTGCCATCTTTCTGGTAGTAGCATAATTCCACGCTCATAAAATTTTTGGTCTTTGCTGGCAAAAAACTGATCGAGGAG